TTCCAGAGCAACAGCGGCTAGGGCCCTATGAACACCACCGACCCCACCACCCCTTTGTCTGGTTGCATGCAGAAACCCTAAACCCTAGACCCTAAACCCTAAACCCTAAACCCTAAAACTGAACTTTAATTCATTCTAGATTGAATTAATTCATTTAAAGAAATGTTCCACTCTCTAGGACTCGAGTTCTAGGGTTTAGGGTTTAGGGTTTAGGGTTTAGGGTTTAGGGTTTAGGGTTTAGGGTTTAGGGCTTTACGAGTGACCAACAGTTTCATGCCCTCCAAATTCAGCTTTTATTATTTTTATAATTGATGAAAGTTTAGGATTTAGTTCATTAGCAAATATTTGTTTTATTTGCTTCTTTTGTTCCTAGGGTTTAGGGTTTAGGGTTTAGGGTTTAGGGTTTAGGGTTTAGGGTTTAGGGTTTAGGGTTTCGCTCTCTAGTTGTAGTCAAGAATGAACCAGCGAATACTCTTATTTCCAGAAGCATTTAGCATTTAGCATTTACAGTTTAGGGTTTAGGGTTTAGGGTTTAGGGTTTAGGGTTTAGGGTTTAGGGTTTAAATTCAAAAAAGAATAAATTAGAAAGAGAAATAAACTCTGAAATAGAACAAATTGAAAAATCGTATTCATTTAATTTACTTCAAAGATTAAAATTCAATTATTAGATATCACTTGGACAAAAAAGAATCAAATAAATTAAATGCATTTAAACAGACAAAAATAAAATTAAAAGAATAAAATTTAATTAAATCGAATTTAATTTAATAAAGTAAGACCAAATTTAATTACATAAAATTGAACCAAAATTAGATTAAAAGAATTAAAAGAATTAACATAATTAAAAGAATTAAAAGAATTTAAAAATAAAATTTCAAAAAAATCAATCTTTTGAATAGTCTGAAATAAATTTCAATTTTAATTTTGAATTAGAAGTTTCTTTTGGATTATTTTGCAGCAAAAATGGATTAAAATTCTTTTAATTCTTTTTCTTTCTATTTTATTTAATTATAAATGACTTGAATTTTAATTATTTAGCATTTTATTTTATTTTATTTTAAATCATTTAAATCCCAAAAAGAATTAAAAGGATAAAAAGGATTTGAAAAGCATTTCAAAAAAATCAAAAGACCGACCGAGGTAAACTATGAAATCCTTCAGCTTCTCTCCTTTTTGGTTTTATTTACTTTTAAACGATTAAAATATTAAAATTAAATTAAAAATAATAATAAAGAATTAAAAAGAATTAAAAGGAATAAAAAAGAATTAAAAAGAATTAAAAGGAATTAAAAAGAATTAAAATCAAATTCGGTTTTGGTGGAACGCTGGTTCGCCGGGTGTACGTACACCTCGGGAAACAGAAAAGGTGGAAACTGCAGGAAATTAAAAAATGAAAGAATTACTTTTTAATTTCTTTTTAATTTAAACATTAATTTAAATATAAATGCATGCAAATGAAAGAGAATTAATTTTATGTCATTTAATTTGCAAAAGGATGCATTTACTCCCACTTCTTTGCATAAAACAGAAAAAGATCCTTTTTGTGACTTCTTTTCAACTAAATAAAAAACAATTAAAAGACTTGCATGCATGCATTTACTTTTTTATTTAATTTGAAATTGATTAATTCCATTTATCCTCAAAATAAATTAATTAAAATTCATTTCTTTTGGTCGAAGTAAAGAAACCTGCAAAATCTCTTTTCTTTATATTTAAATAAAGTAATATTTATATTTATTTATTAAATTGTATCTTTAAACACCAATGTATCTTTATTTATTTATTTAAGTTTGCATTTACATTTGTTATTTATATTCATTTATTTATATATGCATTTGAGTAAATGTGTTGATATAAATATTCAGATTAAAGTACACACACATATAGATATATAATTATATATATATACAGACATATATTTATATATATGTATATAACCATCTTTATATATATATAATATACATACAAATTATATAGTATATAGATATATATGTATACGCCTATATATATATACTATAATATATATACATATATATACATATATATATATACACATGTATATACATGTATATATATATATATATATTGATGTATCTCTATATGTACACATATATTGATATATATATATATATACGCATCTATATACTGTATGACATAAAGATATACACACGTATATATATTATGTGCATCGATATATAAATATATATATATATAGATATTAATTATATATATATTATATATTTATATATATATATGAAAGTGTACATTATATAATATATACAGAAGAATATTGCTCGGTGTCTCTTAATAAAATAAAAATGTAAAATAATAAATGGAAATAAATAAAATATAAAATTAAAAGTAAATAAAAATAATAAATGAAAAAAGTGTTAAGGAGTTGGTGAGCAGCAGCAGCTGCTGCTGCAGTCCAACTCGTTAACACTTTATTTGGACACGAAATTCATTTCTAAGTTCATTTTAAATCCATTTTAACTCAATTTTAATTTATTTTAATTTATTTTGATTAATTTTTAATTTAATTGACTTTATTTTGATTTATTTGGGCTTAATTTGAGTTAATTTGAAGTCTTTTTGTTCCTTTTGCAGATGGCGTTGCAGCGCGGTCGGAGGCGTGCAGCCGCGGATCCAGCATCGGGACAAGAGAATTTGTTTTGTTTTGAACTATTTAAATTTCTTTTTGATTTAATTTAATTAAAAAAGAAGAAATAAAAAAGAAATGAATTTAAATAAGCCTTTCGAGTGCGCGTTGGCGCTGGCGCTGAGGTGTCTGTACACCCCGTCGCTGCATGCGCAGGAGGGGTCGTCAGCGGCGGCGGGCTGTTCGCCACTTTGAGTTCATTTGGAGTTTATTTTCGATTATTTGGGGACTTTAGGAGAAACTAAATAAACCTTTTTATTCCTTTTGCATTTGCAGCCGCCGAGGCGGGCGCTGCGAGCTGAACACGCAGCTGCTGCAGCAGCCGCGACCAACTGCTGCTGCTGCTGCTGCTGCTGCTGCTGCAGTCGCTGCAGCAGCAAAGTGTGTGTGTCTGCCGGGCTGCCCCCGGGTGTACAGACCGAAGGTGCCCTTTCGGGGCGAATTTGCCTCTGCCGAAGCGCCTGCGCGCCTCGTCCCACTCCGCTGCTGCTGCTGCTGCTGCTGCTGCTGCTGCAGCACATCACCGCGCATATCTCCGCGAGTTTCGCTCCTCCGCGCCCCGCTCCCGGACCAGCCCCCCCTCCCGCAGCAGCAGCAGCAGCAGCAGGATGGACACGCTGATAGGGCTTTGCTGCCGCGAGTTTGCGGTGGTGGCAGCAGACAAGTACAGCAGCAGCTCCATAGTCCGCATGAAAAGCGACGAAGACAAACTGCTGCAGGTCGACGATGACAAGCTGCTGGCCCTCGCCGGAGAGCCCGGAGACAGAAGCCAGTTCGGGGAGTACATCCGCAAGAACATCCACCTCTACAGGCTCAGGCAAGCAGCAGCAGCAGCAGCAGCAGCAGCAGCAGCAGCAGCAGCAACAGGTGCAGCAGCGGGAGGGGTAGAGGCGGGAGGGGTAGAGGGGGGAGACGTAGCAGCAGCGACTGGTGATGCTGCAGCGGGAGTAGATGCTGCAGATGTAGCAGTTGCAGCTTTTGTTGCAGCAGTAGCAGCAGCAGCAGCAGCAGCAGCAGCAGCAGGAGTAGCAGTAGCAGTAACAGCAGCAGCAGCAGCAGATGATGGTGATTATTAGTATTACCAGGATTGTGGCTATTGAGCAGCAGCAGCAGATGGTATTATTATGCTGCACTTGGAACGGCAGCAGACAGAGAGCAGCTAGAGCAGCAGCAGCAGCAGCAACTAGAGCAGCAGCAGCAGCAGCAGCAGCAGGTGCATCTCCCTTGCTAGGAAGGGCCCGGGTGTCCAGACACCGGAAAAAGCCGCAACGCCGCTCATTGAATTCCCCTCTTCCCCAAATTTAAAAAATAAATAAATAAATAAATAAATAAATATATTTATTTATTTATTTAGTATTTATTTATTTT